GAAAGAGGGAAAATAGAAAGGGCTAAACAGCAGCATCAAAAAGGAAAGCAATTTGGTTTTCTATTTCATTAAGAGACACATAATCACAGACTATCCAACAATACATGTACCCTTGGTAAAGAGCTGCTGATATTCTACATTAACCTTTGATAGTGAGAGGTGTATTTCCCCTACTGTTTTCCACAATAAATTACATTCTATCTGGCATCCAAAGCACTAGGAAGTGTTCAGCCAGCTGGAAGCACCAGATTGGCCCAACATCCCTAACGTTCAGATTATAAATAAAGGGTACCTCATACTGCTTGTGTAACAGAAACAAGAAATGCAGAGGAAGGGCAACTTCCCCCCTGCCCACAGAAGCAAAAAGAGTCAGTTGGGGAATGAAAACCAGAAATTCCAGAGGGCAGAGTTTCTGCAGTGAGATGCAGTCTCCAGCACTCCAACCCTCAGACAAACGCAGGACTTCAGCGGAGAAATGAGGCTTCACCATTTGCATGTTTACTGAGGATTTGCACATTAAAAAAAAAAAGCCAAGGGGAAGTATATCTGGCTCTGCTCTTCCCAGATGGTATAACCACACAAACACAGACTCACACAGACACATATCTTCCCACTCTTTAGGCAGCATTGTCTGTTCTCTTCCAGCCATGAAAATAATTACCTCAACCACAACCTCAGTTTCAGAGGATGTGGTCAAATGTGGCATGCTGCATGTTCCTCCCATGCCCTCAAATCAAGGGATATTATGGCTATAAGTATGTAACAGCATTGTGATAAAGTTGAGGGAAACCCTGCCTGTTATGATCTGGAAGGTGAAGATATCAAATAGGAAGAGAACAAAAGAGTCTCAAGACACAAACTCCAGTACCTGAGAAAGGTTATAAATGGGCTTTTTGGGTTCAACTGTTCTCAAGGAAATCACTTCATTAGCTTCAGTGGGAGCACAACTGAACCAGTGCTGAGAGCTGCTAAACCAACTCTACAGATGGAAAAATTAACCAAATCTATTTATTCTAAGGGCCAAACTGCGGTGGTCCCTGGTGAGGATGTAATGGGAAGTAAGACACAAGGAGCTGTTCTCCTCACCACTCCTTTTTGGTAGGGGCTGGCCACAGCTGCAGTGCCTGTGCTCTCCTGAGGGCCAGAATTAGTCCCAAATTGGTATATTCCATCTTCATTATTCCAGCTATTATATAAACATGGCTATATGCTTGCTTACTTAAGCTGAAAAATGGAAAAGAGGAATTAAAATTAAGGTTAATAGAGCCAGACAGAGTATTCCCCATTTACTTTGCCCTCACCATGGCTGCTTCAACCCTTCTGCCTTGAGTGGGTGCTTTCTCCCATAAAAACACTGTTTTTCTCTTTTCCTCTCTTCTCTCTTCCCTTATTTTTTTTCCCCTGATGTCCTCTTCTCTCCCTCTCTTACTGCTGCTGTGGCTGTTTAAGTTTCTCTATTTATTGAGCAGCTTGAAATTTTAGATAGACACTAATACAGGAGCTGTCTCTCCCATATCTATTAAACCATGGGTAACAGCTCTGAAGAATTTTATTGATATTATTTTGGAAATTTGCTTTGTCTTGTGTTGAATTTCATGACTGGAAGGATCTTGAAACTGGGCAAAGAAATGGCCAGAAAGATGTCTCCTAATGTCTATCCATCTCTCTCTCCCTAAAGTTGGTCTATGCCTTATTCGGAAAATTACCATTTAATTCCCCTTTAGGCAACTGAGATGCTGCCTGAAAAGCCTCTGATTTGTTGGGATTTGTAGGCCTGAAAGGGTTGCCAAGGTGAAACACATGCCACAGAGTAAATCAGATGCCCTGATTTATTTCAGGAACATGCATTTGTTCTCCTCAGAAGGACAGAGGGGAGGCTGAGTGCAAGAATCACAAGTTTGGTACTGCCTGTACATCCCAGGTTTAGACAACTTTTTCTTGTTGAAGTGGCTGATGTTTCCCATTCAAAAGGTAGTTTGTTCAAATCCACTTGTCCCCCCAAAGGTTGTTTGGAGTTTTTTAAAGAAATGGTGCTCCATCCCAAAGAAAAAGCACACATGTACTGTTTTTCTCTAACACTAGTTATACCACTATGAGATTTTTCAAAGACAAGAAAGACATAGAGAAAAAGTTTTGAAGAGAGAGGCAGATCCACAGTATTTGCATCCATGTTTTTTTTTTCACTGTTGGAGACAACTTTCTGCACAGCTTGTTTAAGGATTCTGGATAGTGTAGTCCCAGAAGACATTTCCTGTACTAAGATGTATTCTCATTAGAATACATATCCCAAAAGGGAGTATTAAAAACATTATTTATCTGCATATAATCACTGTATCACGCCATGTATCCTTTATTTTAATTTCCACTCACTTGCTAATTACACACCACACTGAAGGTCTCACAACTGCTCCCCTTTCAGCAGCTTTGTTTGCAAAGTGTCTGGCAATAATCTCCCAGCAGTGTATTGTCATGCCCTTTTCATCACACTATTTAATCAATAGGGTAATGACCTCATATAAGCTAGTTCCAGGACCTAGCCATGCCATGCTAAATAAATGAAACAAGCAAAACTCTGGGCTACATGCCTCCTGTTTTAAAATCCTGGATGTGAACCATTCCAACATTAAAAATTATTATAATATATAGAAATGACAAATTCTTCACATCTCTTGCCAGAAAAAAAAAAAAAAAAAGAAAAACAAAACCATTCTACAGTACTGCAGGGAAATAGCTGCTTTCTTTAAACTGACATAATTGCAAAACGTGTGTTCTTGGTCAAGTGTTCACAGGAAGATTTATACTGATAACACTGACAACAACCCTTTCCCCCATTATATCACGTCATCACTTACAGGACCAAATGGTGACCATCACAGCTAATGGGATGAAATCACACACAGCACACTTCCAAAGCAGAGGTTGGAACTAGGGTTCTTTCCAAAAGGACTTCTGTTGCAGTGAGCAGAAGGAAAGCAGCTTCTCTCCATTTCCTGAGCTGTAAACTCACAAAGTGTGGTTCACTTTGATTTGCATTCCATGTCTGGATTATATTCTGTCTAATAAAGTGCATGTGAGATGTGCTTAGTAATGTGTGAACCCTGGAGTACATGTAGCATCACTCTAGTGCGGCGATTCTCTTGTCCAGAGGAATGGGGGTAGTAAATTGAGTCTGTCTGCTCTTTTTAACCACCACTTTTCCTAATACTAGTAGGAATTTAGTTTCAGAAATAATTTTTTACATCGAATTTTGTTGTAACTGGTCAACAGAGAGAGGAACTCAACTGACTGTCTGGCACATGGAGTGACTGCATATTCCTTCTATTCTTTGGAAAATCAGGGTAAAATATCCACAAGAGCACAGAAGTTTCACCCCACAAAACCTCTGAAAAAATGGCTAGGAGAGAAAATAAACTGTTTTCATGTCATTAACACAGCTGGAGCAGTTCAGGGACATCTGAAAAGAGTATGAGTATGCATTAGAAGAAGCATAAACCACATAATTTTGTGTTACCATGGCATTATCACCATACACTGCTTTCACATGAATGGAGATCCCTCCTCCCTATATAGTGTGAAAGAAAAATAATAGTTTTTAATCTTTCTTTCCCAGATATTACCTGAAACCAGCCATATACCTTGAGACAAATTTTTACTGGAAATTTTTCACTGCATCAATGCCACTTAGGTTCTTTTGACACCTTCCTTTTAGGTGTGTTATGAAAATGACAATGTGCCAGTCATCCAAGCTGTCAGCACCAGCTAAAATCTGTTCTGAGGCAGAGTAATTTACACTTGGATGAACACCTCCCAAGAAATAATCATGTAAATACCTTCATGATGAAATGCAACTCATTGCTGGTTAGATAACTCCTATAACGAGCCTAAGTGTGATCTGTCTTTGATCTGAAGATCTGAAAAGTTCTGAAATTGCTTCAGTGCAAATATTCTTTTAATATGATGTAGATGTTGGAGAGGTAACTATGTAGTGCTGTGAAACACTTGCTGTGTTGCAAGATATTAGTTCTGGACTACAAAACTGCATTTTGGATAATATTCTCTCAAAATGTCCTATATGACACTAGTCTGGCAAAGTAGGAATTAAAAAAAAAAAAACAACACCCTCAGAACCCTAATGAACTGAAACTCTCCAACTGACCCATTTGGTCGTCTGGCCCCTGCAAAACTATTACCTTTACTTCTGATGCAGTGGAAGAAACAGCAGACAACAGCAAAAAATGAAGGAAGTTATAAGACTAAGGAAAGAGAAGAAAGAAAATTCCAGACACCTCCTATTGAGGTGAATTAACTTCCAGCAGTGGAGGGTTTCACTAGACATTAACTTGATCCCTGATACTTATCAGAAGGCTCAGAAATAGGCTGTGTGAAATATCATTGCCAGGTGACACCACCTTGCCCTCCCATCAAAATCTGTCCTTGCATTATCTAGAAAAAAGGACATATCATTGAACTATTTCTCTAATCCATCTTTACAGGAAATAAATTATTCCTATAATTGTTGACATTGCAGTCCACCATTTGTTAAATACAAGAAATCCTGATGCATCTTGTGATAGGATACACTTCTACAATGGCAAAATATCCCTCCAACAGATGAACAGGAGTGGCTGGAATGAAATATAAGGCCCTCTGTCCTTTGAGGTGCTGCTCAAAATCTGACAGAGGGATCAGGCAGGACAGGATGGTAATGACTTGCCTTCACAGCTCATCACTTTGATACCAGGTAAATTAGCATTTTAGTATTTCAATTGCCACCAGTAGTTTCTAAGATGACATTGACTTGAACAGTCTTGCAAGAGTGTTTCTTCTCTGTCAGGTAGTTTTGAGTTTTGGGGAGTCTCCATATCAGGAGAACACCATTGTGTATATTTTCTCCTATTGCTTTTGTTCTGCGAGCATTCTTTTAATTTGAAGGCAAAATATCTTATTCCAGAGCATTCTGCTTATGCAACAATATTAATTAAAAAAGAGCAGGTACTTACCGAGCAAGTAGTACAAGGTCACAGCCTTCCCTTCAGCCCTGTAAGCCTTTCTGCAGTCAGAAGGTGACAGACTACCTTGGTCTGCGTGTTTTCTACCAGACATCTCTATTTTACAAAGAAAAACAAATGAGAATGATGAAGAAAAATCAAAAACCTGGCAACTTTTCCTCAGATATTAAAACACAAAAAGTTTAAAGCCACGCATGTTTGGAAAGAGAAACACACATTCTAATATATTTATGAAATGTTTTACTTGAAGTCCTAAAAAAACAAAACAAAAAAAAACTGAAAACCAACAAACAAAACCCACCAAACCAAACCAAAAAATAGCTAAAAAAACCCCAAAACTATCACCTCCATTGTGCAGGTTGCAGGACTTAACCATACGGACAAGCTGCATGGAAAGGACATCTTATCAGAAATGGCTCTAAGTCATCCAGAGACCTCCTGGTGTCTGATCAAGGACTGAAGGAGTACCTCAGAGAAAAGTCCATCTGATATAGATGGGGTGGAAACAAATAAAAAAATCTAAGACATCAGAGCCTCAGATTTTTCACAGTTTGGATGTGTGTCAATATTAAAGTAAAAAAAAAATTAGGGATTTGATAAAAGGATCTGATAAAAAAGCAAAAGAGGCATATAAGGGATAACTAACCTGATAGAGAACTAAAAGGGATAATCAAATTAAAATTGATCCACATGGGTTTCTGGAAAGCAGATTTTGTCAAGCTAAATTGATACCATTTTCTGATGTGATCTCAAATGGGACTGCTAAAGTCAACCATTTTGATAGATGCCTGTAAGAGAACTGGCTTTGCATCACACCACAGTTTGATTGAAAAGCTAAAAAGCATAAGAGATGGGATTCATCCACACTAATTATAGCTGTCTAAAAGTTTGGCAGCTTGTCTTAACTTCTCTATGTTCCCATTATAGTCTAGGAAAAGAAAAAGATACTGTCAAAAAGTGATTTATGGTTTTCCAGATAAGTCCACTACATCTTTCTGCGAAGGTCTCCATCTCTCTCCTTTGACTATTAAGAGCTTAGAAAACTAGCAATCATTAGAAACTAATTTTTGGATGGCTAAAATGAGATACAGTGAATCACAATAACATCCTAAACTACTTATAAACTATGTAGCAGATATATCTTACCAATCATTATGTGACTGGGGAACAAGGAGCTAGTATTGGAATTGGCTCTTGCCTCCTAGACTAATTTTCACTTTTTTTAAAAAAATCACATTTTCACAATATGGGAAGATGACTGAAAAATGAAAAATAATGGAGAAGATTGTTGGATTAGGTGACCATAACCAGATATTATGTACCTCAGTATAGCTAACAGGAAGGCTGTGGATCAAGGAATTAGTACAATGAGACAGATTTAATGAGGAAAGACTCAACTCTGGAAAAAAGAGATCCCACAGAGGAGGCAAGGTTTTGGGATCACAGGCCAGGAAAAGTAACCAGATTACTATGAATTTTTAGAATACTTCTAAGAGTACTGAATTTTGAGAGTGACAAAAAGCTACCATACTCATCAGATGTATAAATAATAGTAAATAGGAACAGGGAGGTTGTATTTTCTTATTTTGCATCAGTGAAATGACTAGTAGTTTCACTGTGTTCCTGGTGTTGTTTTAAGAAAGACTGTGAAAATTTAAATAGATTATGAGGAAGCCAGGGGAACAATTACAGTATTAGGAAACGTGTCTTACTACAAGAGACTCAAGGCACTCAATCAATTAACTTACCAGAGTAAAAGTTAAAGGATTATTTGATCACAGGCTACAAGTGCCTCCCACAGGGAATAAAAAATTGATAATAGAGGGCTCTTCAATCTACCAGGCAGAGAAAGAACAAGATCGAAGGGCTAGAAATTATAGCAAGACTAATTCAGTCTAAAAATAAGGTGTAAATTTTAAGCATTTAGGGAAATAACTTGAAATAACTTGCCAAGAACTATGATTTTTTCTTTTCTCTCACCAGAAAATAAGCTTTAATCAACACTTGGCCTTATTAGAACTTTATACTTCTATTTCTAAGCTTATTAATACATTAATTGTAAGAATCTCAGAACATTACTATGGAGAAAAAGAACATATGTTGTAAGTTGGGAAGTGCTCACTGCAATTCATAAACAGCCAAGAGATTTATTTTCCATTTGACCACCAACATTGAGTGCCTTGACAGACTCTCTACCATGAAGCTTCGCTAACTGAAACACCTTCTCACTACTCCACTAGTTAAAGAGTACTAATTCAAAATGGATTGCGCTAAAATTAGGAAGCAGGAAGAAATCACAATTTGTAATTATCCCTTGCAGAAATTCCTTAGTACAAAATTTCTGAGTCCTTTTAGTCATGCCATTGTTTTCCAAATGTAAATGTAAAATCCAAATCACAACATGGTAAAGATCTCTCGGTAGGCAATTAAAAATTAATCAGCAAATTAGATCAAATGAACAAGAAAATAAGGCTCAGAAAGACATCCATTCTAATTAACATAATATTAAGTTACAAAAGACCTTTTCAGACATAAAAAAAATTGTCTTTATTCCAACTGTCAAACCAATCAATAAAAGGAAACAGTTATTTCTTACCTTGTTATCCCTATGACCAAAGCCAAAAGGAAATTACAGTAAGAGTGAGTCTTAGATGCAATAGTAATAGTCTTAGTAATACAGATGCCTGTGCAACTGTATTAATTTCTTATTATTTCTAATCTTGTTAACTATTTGAATCCATCATTTAACCAGATTATATTAAATTTATGGGGATTCTACCTGTATTGTGCTTGCTCTATACTTGCTGTGTCTGTTAAGAATCTTCTAGGTTCTTAAAAACAAAATTAATGTGATCAAAAGTCTCACCTAGGTTTCCTTAGCTAGATGACTCCTGACTAATGCACAGGGCTTTATTGTGGAGACAGAGGATGTCAAAATAAGAGAAAAAGTAGAAGGATTCTTAAGTCTGTGTTGGGAATGATAACATATACTCTCAAGGAAGGAAATAGCATTATAGGACACCTTATTGAATAAACCTCACTGGTTAAGCGGAAGTGCTCAGGCAATCAGACAAGGAATGGGGCATGGTTGAACCTAATTAGATAGATCGCACAGATTAAAAATACCTGCTATTATAGGACAGTTCCTAAAATATTTTTTCAAATGTCATATTACTCCAGCAAAGACCAACGACCTCAACCTTCTGGTTGGAGTCACAGAACATATGCCACAGACTTCTGGGCACACCAGGCAATTTGCAGCTGGGAGATGACCATGATTCCCAGCAATCCAGTGCAGCAAACATGGGGATGGTTCCCTGCATTACCCACAAGCAGAGCATTGTGCAGTCCTTCACAGATGTTAATATGTTATCCAGATTCATAATATCCAGTGACGCCTTTCCAAGCAAACATAGCTTCCCTGTCCATCTCATGAGACAGGCCTGGTTTGGGAACAATCTTTGGACAAGAGCTGCATGGGGTGCAGTGCTACAGGCCAGGCAGGACACAGTTGCATTATTTACTTTTTTGAGTGGGGGAAAGAAATCTAGAAAGTGTGTGTAATGGTTTGGAAAGAGGCTTTGCAAACCAATTCCACAATGAATGTATTTCACTTTGATCACCCCTTCTAGCCCGTAACAAAATTGAGGCAGTATTTTGTTTTGCAGAAATTAGTACCTTCAAGACCTGCAGTGGATTTATTATTTCTGCTAGGGCTTGCACTTCCTTTCTGATCCATGGCTGTAAAATCCAGAGGGACAGAACAGCACAGAAAATTACTGCAAAGATGTAGTGTGACATAGGAAGAGTCAGAGGCATTATGTGTGAACAACACGACAAAAGGAAAAGCCATCTGAAAATAAATGAAAAAATTAATAATCAAAAGGGTGTCTAATTCTTATCTGGGCACTTGTTTGCTCACTCTATGAATTCAGACGACCAAGCTATGGCCTATAAAGCCGGAAGGGACTCTGGGCCCAGAACTCAATCCTGCTTTAAGGAAGGTGCCATTCCTCAAGGAATGCTTGATGAAGCAGTCATTCCAGAGAAAGGAATTCTTCCACCAGAAAACAGGTGAGGCATCAGAAACATAAATTTTTCTCTTGCTTCATTCCTGAAACCAGGGTTCTAAAATTCCAAGTCAAACCTCCATATCCAGTACTAGCTTGAATCTTGTCACCAAAAAACTAACAATGGCAGTTAGGGCACCTGTAGGGCCATGAGGAACCAGTCCTAGACTTCAAATCATTATACAGTGATTACAAAACCACTGTTGGGAGATGGTAACTTCTAATCACTCCAACATTAAAATCAGCAGAAGTTTATGTTGCATAATAAGAGTAACACACACACATGGAATAGGGAGACTTCACTGTTAAGCATTTCCATGTAAACTTGACTTATAGCTAATGGAATACAGGCTCAAAGGATAATGCATAGAATGTATAAAATGAAAGCCTCAAAAAAGGCACTTTGGTAACAGAAATTGTTTTTTCAATTGCAAGCAATGTTCCCTCGACACAAAAATAGTCTATCCAGAAATTGCTGAGTATATTGGAGAAATAGAGAGAATTACTGTGTTTGGAGAACTTCATACTAGTTTGATCATTGATTTTTTAGTAAGCTATTTAGGATAAACATTCTCCTGGAACAGATGTGTCATCAAAAGCTAAACCTGCTTTAAATAAATAAGCAGTGCATATTTTCTTCACCAGAATGCATGATCAAAAAGCTCTCCTCTCTGACCATCCACTGCTTTGTGTTTGGTAGCTGACAAAATACTTCACTAATTTACATTGTAGTGTGTGAGAGTTTTTAGCAAGTTGAGGTCTGAAATACAGCTTAGTTTTTGTCACTGATGAAAAAAATTAGTCTACAGGATATATAGTAGATCTGCATTTGCCAGGCTTTCCAAACAACCTGGAAACCTATTCTTTCCTGTTGTTTAAAGAACTCTCTAACTTGTTTTCCTATAAGGGATAAAAAAAAATTCAGAAATTAAGAGAACAGAACAGAAAACCTATTTGTCACCACTTGCTGGCTCGGAGCTGTAATACAGCAGGATCAACAGATTTAAGCAAAACGAAACAAAAGAA